GAAATGCGAAGGGGCTTAGCCCCTTCAATGGGGCCCCAAACTTTAAATGCACTGTACGTTAACTGAATTATTGCGCAGCAATAGACAGTCGAATCCAATTGAAAATATTCGCTTTTAGCGAATTTCACATGGTAGTATTGACTCTTCCCATTCCTGCTGGCAGCTTGCTAATGGGCGAATCTCCCACGCAAACCAATCGTGAACATTCAAGTGCAATTAGCATAATCGCAGAAAATATAAATACCGATTATTCTTTCGGGTGTTAAAACCTGTTCATCTGATGACTTGCAAGCTACTAAATAAGCGGCCAGGTACACTTTAATGCCATTACGTAAGTGAGCTGGACGTCCTCATATGTGACGCCAATGCTGAGCGTCCGAATTTTATTTGTGGCCGGGAGAGCGCGCGTCTGCAGGTCGTTGCTTCATCAAGGCCGCTGGACAATGTGCTAAAGATCACGTTGGCAAAATTCTTTAAAAAATCAAACACCTGATGGGCGGCTTGGAGCCCATCCAACAGGCTCCCTCGAAAAATATGCGCCAACCCACGTGTAACCGTCTCCATGTAAGATGGAGCAATCGCATCTAATAACTCCCCCAGATAATTTCTACGGGTTTTGTCAACGCACTTTACTGGAGAAAGTTGTCCGCGATTTGTTCAGCATGAAAGCGGCCGCAGCTTTAGCACATCTGCTAGGTGAACATGCCACATAGATAAATGTTCCCCGGATTGCAAAGTATCAGCAGGAGAAAGTTTGGAGTTGGGGAGTGTATTGGAGTGACTATGGGCTATTGAGCTAGGATAGTTTCAAGATGGTGGCACTTCCGGTTTTACCGGAAGCAGACACTAACTCGCTTATTTTTATTGAAACACCCTGTATGTTATTCCAGTTTTGAAATCTGCGGAAAATTTAAATAATCTTTCATGTATAACACCCTATACCTAAATCTAACGGTTTCTGCTTCTGGCATTGTTAAACAATTCAAGATTTGAACAACCCACTTTAGACGCTAACCACAAAAACGCTGTCGCCCTGACAGGTTTTCCGGCAAATAATCTCCCGGGTGACTCATAACAATATCTCACTCTCACTTTATACCGGCATTACCAAATATTTTTGGACTTAAATGGAGTTTTGGACTTACCCATTGGTCCCAGCTGCTAGGAGTTTTGCTTGCGCAGCTTGTCGACTCAGGCTTCCATGATAGTATTGTTGAGTAGAGTGCACTCCGTTGGCAAACGCCTCTCGCGGGATTTGCTCGTACTGCTCAAACCTGAAAACAAATAAAAAATGACTATGTCCATTTCGGCTGATTAAATGGCAAACACTTCACCTCAAAACTCTCGGACTTGTGTCCTCTTCCTGGGACTCATTGAGGGCAACTAGCCTTCCTACTCCGCTGGAGAAATCCATTGGGACTTTTGTCGGCTGCAACAAAATTTTTCGGTTAGTTTGTGCTTGAGCACGTTACGAATTGTGACTTGTTTGAACTGAAGATGCTGTTCGTTCTTTGGATTTTTTGCCAATTCGGGAAGATTTAGAAGTGTTGGAAATCCTCAATGTGACGATCTGTGTTTTTGCGATGAGTAAACTGAGTAAAGTGTCGCCCTTTAAGTCGTTTAACTGGTGATTAAATGCCAAGGCAAATAACTTTTTCTGCTTCGTCAAGGTTTTTACACTATTTAACCCAAACTCTTCAACTTCTGCTAACACTATTGTAGCTTCTCTTGCCCCCCTTTCTAGTCTTATTAAAAGCGAATGTTGCCAAAGTTATTCCGTAATTATTTTCAACTACATATCTGTTTTTTCAGAGCGTTTAAAAAACTATATTTTGTCAGTCAAATTTTAGCCTCAAAAACCCGAAATTTAAGCTAAATTAAAACATTGTTGAGGCTCTGCAGTTTAAACACCCTGTATCTCAGAAACGGTTGAAATTGGCCAATCAGTTTTTGGGAGGCTTGCGATAGCCGTTCTCCAGAGCTGTATTTTTCATATTAGATAGTATTCGAAATTCCTAACCCCAAAGAAATAGCAGCCAAAATATACAAATTTGAGACAATCAGCGCTTAAAACACTCTATATCTCAGAAACTATTGCAAATTTCTATTCAGTCCATAAGACCCTTTTGACAGCCCATCTTAAGAACTGTCTTTCCCATTTGGGTTTTATATAAAAATCTTAACCTCCAAAGCGATACAAGCAAAACCAAAACATTTTTGAGGCACTGAAGTTTAAACACTCTGTATCTCAGAAACGGTTAAAATTGGCCAATCAGTTTTTGGGAGGCTTGCGATAGCCCTTCTCCAGACCTGTATTATTCGTATTAGATAGTATTCGAAATTCCTAACCCCAAAGAAATAGAAGCCAAAATATTCAAATTTGAGACTACCAGCGCTTAAAACACTCTATATCTCAGAAACTATTGCAAATTTCTATACAATCCATGACACCCTTTTGACAGTCTGTATTAAGAACTGTCTTTCTCATTTGGGTTTTATAAAAAAAAATCCTAACCTCTAACGCGATACAAGCTAAACCAAAACATTTTTGAGGCTCTGAAGTTTAAACACCCTGTATCTCAGAAACGGTTGAAATTGGCCAATCAGTTTTTAGGAAGCTTGCGATAGCCCTTCCCCAGAACTGCAGTTTTCGTATTAGATAGTATTCGAAATTCCTAACCCCAAAGAAATAGAAGCCAAAATATTCAAATTTGAGACTACCAGCGCTTAAAACACTCGATATCTCAGAAACTACTGCAAATTTCGATGCAATCCATAAGACCTTTTTGACAGCCCGTCTTAAGAACTGTCTTTCCCATTTGGGTTTTATAAAAAAAATCCTAACCTCTAACGCGATACAAGCTAAACCAAAACATTTTTGAGGCTCTGAAGTTTAAACACCCTGTATCTCAGAAACGGTTAAAATTGACAAATGAGTTTTGGGAGGCTTGCGATAGCCCTTCCCCAGGGCTGTATTTTTCATATTAGATAGTATTCGAAATTCCTAACCCCAAAGAAATTGCAGGCAAAATATTCCAATTTAAGACTACCAGCGCTTAAAACAGTCTATATCTCCGAAACTATTGCAAATTTCTATTCAATCCATAAGCCCCTTTTTACAGCCCGTCTTAAGAACTGTCTTTCCCATTTGCGTTTTATAAAAAAATCCTAACCTCTAAAGCGATACAAGCTAAACCAAAACATTTTTGAGGCTTTGAAGTTTAAACACCCTGTATCTCCGAAACGGTTGAAATTGGCAAATCAGTTTTGGGAGGCTTGCGATAGCCCTTCCCCAGGGCTGTATTTTTCATATTAGATAGTATTCGAAATTCCTAACCCCAAAGAAATAGCAGCCAAAATATTCAAATTTGAAATTATCAGCGCTTAAAACTCTCTATATCTCAGAAATTATTGCAAATTTCTATTCAATCCATAAGACCCTTTTGACAGCTCGTCTGAAAAATTGTCTTTCCCATTTGGGTTTTATTAAAAAATCATAACCTCTAAAGAAATATAAGCTAAACCAAAAAAATGGAAGTTCTGAACCTTAAACACCCTGTATCTCAGAAACGGATAAAATTGGACAATCCGCTTTTAAGAAGTTTGCGCTAGCCCTTCTCAAGAACTGCTTTTTTTTATTAAACGGTAGTCAAAATTTCTAACCCCAAAGAAATACACCAAAAAATCCCAAAATATTCAAATTTGAGACTACCAGCGCTTAAAACACTATATCTCAGAAACCATTGCAACCATCTATTTAATCGATAAGACTTTTTCGACAACCAGTCTCAAGAGCTATCTTTTTCATTTGGAATTTATTTAAAATTACTAACCTCTAAAGAGATAAAATCCAAAATTTCGAAAATTAGATATCTGCGGGTTCAGAACGCTATAGCACAGAAACCAGTACAAATAACGCCTTAACCCATAGGACGTTTTCGATAGCCCGTCTTAAGGTTTGTATTAATCACTCAGTTCTTACAGGAAATTCCTAACCTCTAAAGAGATAGAAGCCAAAATCCAAAAATCGGCGGCTTTGTAGCTTAAAACACCCCGTATCTCAGAAACGGTTAGAATTGGACAATAAGTCGTTAGGAAGCTTGCGATAGCGGTTATTGAGAAGTGTGTTTTTCTCGTTCAATAATATTCGCAATTCCTAACCCCAAAGAAATAAAATCCAAAATTTCGAAAATAAGATATCTGCGGGTTCAAAACGCTATAGCTCATAAACCAGTACAAATAACGCCTTAACCCATAGGATCTTTTCGATTGCCCGTCTTTAGGTTTGTATTAATCACTCAGTTCTTACAAGAAATTCCTAACCTTTAAAGATTTAGAAGCCAAAATCCAAAAAATTGGCGGCTTTGCAGCTTAAAACACCCCGTATCTCAGAAACGGTTAGAATTGGGCAATCAGCTGTTAGGAAGCTTGCGATAGCGGTTATTGAGAAGTGTGTTTTTCTTGTTCAATAATATTCGCAATTCCTAACCCGAAAGAGATAAAATCCAAAATTTCGAAAATTAGATATCTGCGGGTTCAGAACGCTATAGCTCAGAAACCAGTACAAATAACGCCTTAACCCGTAGGACCTTTTTGATTGCCCGTCTTAAGCTTTGCCTAAATCACTTAGTTCTTACAAGAAATTCCTAACCTCTAAATATATAGAAGTCAAAATTTGCTTGTAATAACTCTTAAATTCGAAAGCTTTTTCAAAATTTGCTTCAATATCTACTTCTATTGTAACTTAGCACACTTGCAACAATCTAGTTGCTTGATATTGGTAGAATTTTTGAATTAGTTGGAATCATTCGATTCACCAAATCTTATCAGTTTGTTTTAATCCATGGCCTGGATGGATGTGTATCCTGGTAAATTATCCATTCATTACGCGTCTGATAGCAGTGCGCTATTTACATTAAACACTATCAGTTAATTACCCGAGGATATTTACAGTTTGAGTCAGATTGTTGAGGCAACCGTTGCGATAAAGGGTTCAAAGCTCTTCCACATCAGTCCAAAGCTACCGCTTACCTCCATCCAGTCCGGCAGCAGTGAAGCGTTGAGCGATTTTTTCGAGCAACGTTCCTCGTTCATTCTTTCGAACTTGTCGTCGTTCATTTTGAACACGGGCATGTTCCCCATCTTCTTCTGTACGTCCTTTTTCAGTTTCCCCAACACTGCCTTGAAACAGCCCATTATCACATACAGTTCGAGATAGTGTTTACACTCAATCCACTGGCTATGTGGCTTCGCATTGGTACTTTCGTAAAACGTTGAATTTTTACCGAAGAATTGAATGCTTTCGGGTGTCGACTACGAAAACCCGTCTTGGATTTAATGGAAGTTTCACGGCGCAATTAAATGTCTTGGAAATGCTTTCGGAACTTTCGCGCATAAAGCCTGAACATGGAAACTGTAAACAGTGCGCTCCTTTGTATTTTAATGGGCTTAACTTTGGGGGTGTACATACAAAGCGAGCTTTATCGGTTAGAAGATAAAATGGGGCTTTATCGTCTCATGATATATGAGCATACAGTGAGTGTGAGTGAACCAAACGGTTGTCTATCTACAACTGAAAATTCGAAAACTTTTCACTTTGCGAAAAACACAATCAAGAGTTAACAATGACGCTTAAAACATCAAATGCATCTCGCAGATAATCGTTACTGAATTCGCAACGGTGCATAACAGAAGCGTGCTCATACACAGATCGATTCATTAATCATCATCAACGATGATGAAGGGGTTTTTGTGGACAACGTGTAATACACCTTATATAAATGTTGCAGGTTTGCAACAAAGTTGCAATTTAAATTGAATGTCTTGACTCTCTTGAGCTTTTGCTTTTATCGTTCGCTTCGCGTATGGGCCGAATTCGTTTATTTTTAGTTCAAAAGTGCACAGTTACAACGCCAATCAGTGAAATGAATTAAAAATACGTCAAGAGGCTTCAGATCTGGAAAGCGTGCAGGCCAATCTGCTAGTTAACTGGTTTGGTTCAACTCAAAAGTGCTAAAACACCCAATGTAATTAGAAGCTTTTGTCGATAGGAATTTGGTCTTGACGTTTCGCTAGCACGCATAACTACCACCTTCAGAGTTGTGTCGCCCGCTGTGCCTGAGTAATACGAGATCTAGACTCAGTTTCAGCTTGTTGGGGCACAAATGAACTAAGCTTTCTGAAGACCTTTTAAGAAAAATTGCACATTTTCAAACTTTTTTCCGTGTCTGAAACTTCTCTTTAAATATTTCCTGCGTGAAACCAAGGGAATCGCAGCATTGAAGAAAATTAGAAGAACATCGTGTAGGTTTAACTATGACTAAGATACGAATAAGATAAAAATATGTATGAAACGATTGAAAGATGAAAAACCTCCCTAGTTTGAATGTTTTGTTAAAAGAACTTCAGCGGAGCGAATAATTCACTATTGCAGCMTATAAAAAATCAAAATTTCAGAAGATTTAGACTCAGTTTCAACTTGTTCAGTCACAAACAAACCAAGCTTCCTGACGGCTTTAAAGAAAAAGAAAAAAGTGCGTGAAGCCAAAGG